GAATGGTGGGCACACGGGTCCGTGCTGCGGCCAGGCACCCTCCCCTGCCCTGGCTCCCCTGGCACTGTCCTGGACGGGGCTCGGCTCCACCACCGCTCCTCTGTGCTCTCTGCCCTGGGGCTGCAGGGCCCTGGGGCAGCTCCTTACCCATGGGTTTGTGTTAACGCTGGGATGAAGCCTGGGGAGGATGAACCCTGTGGTCTGTTGGGCTGTGGGGAGAGAGATGGGGCTGTCCCCCATCCTTACCCCGTCCGGCTGCCCTTGCAGTGACGCTGAGCCTGGCGAGCGAGTCAGCCACTGAGCACATCGCCATCAGCGGCGGAGGCCTCCCCGGCCGGTACCGAGCACTGCAGCTCCACTTCCACTGGGGCAGCCCGGCTGGGAACGGCTCCGAGCACACCCTCGACGGGCACCAGCTCCCCATGGAGGTAGGCGAGAAAAAGCCCGCAGCGGGCTCCCTGGGTGGCCCAAGGCCTCGGTGCAGTGGGAAGGTGTGGTGCTGGTGCGTCCCGAGGCTGCCATGCAGCGGGGTGGTCAGGCTTGGGGACGCTGCACTGGTGGGTTCAGCCATGCTCCCCCTCACTGCAGCCCCGCGCTGATGGTGGGACACGGACGGCCGCTGCTCAGGGCACCTGGGGGGTGAAAAAGCAGCTGATAGGAGACTCAAGGGTTTTCTTTACCATGCGTGGGCCAAGCTGCCTTGTTGGAGGCACTCAGCGGGGTTTGGAGGGCTCTGTACCCCCCCGGGGCCGCACACTGAGCCAGTGAACGCAAGCACGAGCGTGTGGAAGTGCACTGTGCCAAGCGCGCCGGGATCCTTCTGGGCGAAAGAGGCTCTGTGCCTCTAAAATATTCATTATCTGCTAGAGGAGAGAAAAACTTATGTATTGCGGCCAGCAGGTGCCCTGGGACCACTGGCCCTGGCTCCCCACCGACTTCAAAGGATGCTGGTTTCACTGGGGTGCTTTGATCCTCCGAGCGGCTGCCCCACGGAAGTGCCCAGGGGACCAGGAGGGTGGTTAGGGGGTCTGGGGGGGGTGAGGTTGGCTCAGCATCCAGGGGAGATCTGTGGGTGAGTGCCCCATTGCCAGGGGTCGGCTGGGGATGGTTGCCCACGTTTGGCCCCTCTCTGCTTTCCCCAGCTGCACATCGTCCACATCAATCTCCCCCGCTGGTGAGTCAGCTCCTCGTTGAGGCAGGGACAGAATGGGGAGAGACCCCGGTGCGGGAGGGCAGGGGTGCACCCCGGCAGGTTGGGCAGGGGGACCTGCCAGTCTGTGGGGCCACCTGTTAGTGAAACAAAGGAAGGGAAATGATGGGGGTGGCCTTGCCATCGTCCCCAGCGCGGGATGGGCTGAGTGCTCGTGTCTCACTCCGCAGGGGACTCTGTGGATTTGGCCTCCACCTTCCGCCTGAGCACCCTGCTGCCGCGTGCCGGCCGGCTCTCCGGGTACTACCGCTACCAGGGCTCCCTCACCACCCCCGACTGCAGCGAGGTCGTTGTCTGGACCGTCTTCGAGGAGCCGGTGGAGATCGGCCGGGAGCAGGTACCGGCGTGCACAGCCCCATGCTCCGGCACCTGAAGGGCTGGGCCCCCCCCAGGTGCCCCCTTCTCCTTTGCCCTTCCTGACCCCTAAGCAAGAGCACAGGGAAAGTCATCTCTATAATAACGCTCCCGGCAACCTGGCAATTAATTAAGTTTATGAGGGTTAAGTAACGGAGCCATGGCCACCCTCCAGGGGGTGAGAAATCCTGTCCTTAGCTCTCTCCCACCCAGCCCCCGTATTCAGAAAGCGAAATGGGAGCGAACCCACAGGGGCTCAGAAGATGCTCCGAGGAGGTGCGTGGGTGGGTGGGTGGAGTGCGTTCTCCTCGGCTGCCCAAGCCCCTCAGTAGACGTATGTCCTTGAGGGTGTCATGGGCCAGCTGCTCTTTAAGTGCTCAGCACAGGCAGTAGAACACAGTTAGCTCCTTTAAAACTCCAGAGCTGATCCTTGCAAGGCCCTGCCTCACGTACTTACCCTCCGGGTCTGGTTTCGGGAGAGCGGTGAGGGGTGACCTGCCGGTGTGGGGCCGTGCCATGGGTCCCGCGCCATCGGCTGCAGAGCAGCACTAAAGGGAGCTCACAAGCAGGCAGGGACCCGGGGCGCCCGGCGAAGTGGCTGCCCACCCTGCCTCTCCCCCTGCGCAGCTTCGGGCGTTCGTCAGCACCCTCCACTTCCCCGCCGCCGGCTCCACGCTCCTCAAAATGATCAACAACTTCCGCCCGCCGCAGCCCCTCCGCAGCCGCAAGGTCTTCGCCTCCAGGGCAGCCACGGCCAGCAGCGGGTCCCCGCATGGGGGCCACCACCAGCTCCTCTCCCCCCTGCTCCTCCTGGTCCTGCTCAGCCCCTTCTCGTCGACCCCGTAGGGTCTGGTCCCCGCTGCAACGGTGACAGCGAGACAACACATCTGGTTCATGAGTAAACAGGGGAAAAAAAAAACCAAACCAAAAAAAAGCATGTTGAGACCTCAGCTGGGTAAAGATTTTGCAAACCTGGCTCTCTGCAGAGGTGAATCTCTGCAAGCCCAGAGCCTCCCTGCGATGCCCCTGCAGCCAGGTGGTGGGAGCCGCTGGGAGGGGATGCTGGAGGGGCTGGAATAAAGCCGAGGTCCTTGCTGGTGACTGCGGGTCACTGCCTCTTTGGCTCTCTGTCCCTTGGGTGCTTCTGGGGCAGGGCGCTTGGCACGGGGGAGGCGAGGGAGCTGGGGGACGGTGTCGGGGTGGCACTCGGGGATCCTGGCCCTGCGCACGGCTGGGCCGGCGGGGCACAAACCACCCCGCCCCTCCCC